CTTTCCCCCGGGCTAAGACTACTACCAACATACAATTATTTCTTGATGCAGTGTTCTACTCCCCAGTGCTCCTACTGTTTACTGGCTTTTGTTTAGCCAGCAATGTTATGTAATCCTCTAAGTACTTAGGAGATTTCCTTGCTCTCTGTGACCTTCTCAGCTCTGGGTTTCTGACAGGTGTTCCCTGACTGAAGGGAGACGTGAACCTGTTCTCCTTATCTTGCCCTGGTGCCTTCCAAGGACTGTGCCCCAATGCCTGGCCTGCTTGCTCGCCCACTGGGCTCGTCAGGCCAGGGCTTTCTGTCACTTTGTGACCTGGTTGACCTGCCTAGCTGTAGGCCCTCGGGCCCCTTGAAGTGATAGCCACTGCTGGGCGTCTCTGTAGAACCTCCTAGGTCCGTCCAAGACCTGTCAGGAGGCTGTCCATTCCCTAAACCCCGTTCTGTGTCCGGGCTCGTGTGGGTTTCTGTACCTTCCCCAAACTCAGTTACTCCCTGATTTGGGCTAGAGGTGTTGCGGTCGGGACTTGGTTCCTCGACCACCTCCCTGTATGTTTGACCCCCTGTAGGACTTGGGGTAAGGTCAGGCCAACTCTGGGGATTATGTGCCAGCTCTCTTGCGGGGTATGATTTATTGGGATGCTCCCGGGTATCCTCCCTGACTGGAGTACTGTGCTGTGCAGGTGAATAGTGATTGTACCCCCGGGGTGACTCCCTGGCTGGAGTAGGCGTGAATGCCTGGTAGTTGGATAGGCTCTTAGAATTCCTGTTTGGGGCACTCGCGGAATCTTGGAATGGGCCGTTTGTGGCTCCATCATTGGAGGTGGGCAGCAGCTCGTGCCCCTCCCTTTGCTCTAAAGGGTCCCCCTCCCCCCCTGGAAAAGACCCAGGAGTCTCATCTGGAAGATCCCGCCTAGGGCGGAGTTGGTCGATGTGCCTACGCAGGACACGATCGTTGTTCAGGGCTACCTCGTAGGACAGAGGACCTGTGACCCTGGAAATAGAAGCGGGGACCCATGTATGACCAGGCCCGTAATTGCGAGTCCAAACCGGGGCACCCACAAGTAGTTGTCTAGGTGCCCTAGGATGTGAGGTAGATGAAGGCAGTCTGTCCGGATGCAACCGGTCAAGCTTCATAGTAAGTTTGCGCCCCCAGCGAAGTTCAGCTGGGCTTCTCCCTGTAGAAGTGGAAGGTGTGGTGCAATAAGAAAGGAGAAAGTCAGCCAACCTGTGATGCCAGTCCCCGTAGGTGAGTCTTTTCAAGGCATCCTTTGTGATGCGGACCATGCGTTCAGCCATACCGTTGGTGGACGGGTGGAAGGGTGCAGACGTGGCATGACGAATCATGTTAGCCTGTAAGAAAGCTTGGAATTCGGAGGAAGTAAATTGAGGGCCGTTGTCAGACACGATGACATCTGGGAGCCCGTGTGCAGCAAAAATCCCCCTCAGTACCTGAATAGTCTTTGCAGTGGTGGTGGATGAGACAGGTACAACCTCAAGCCATTTTGAATGACTGTCAACGAGGACCAAGAAGAACTGGCCCTGAAAGGGCCCAGCGTAGTCAATGTGCACCCTAGACCATGGGGACTGTGTATCCTCCCATCTATGCACAGGAGCTTGGGGCATCTCTGGGCGAGAGCGCTGGCACAGGTGGCATGCATGCACCTTAGCCTCAATGTCCTTATCTAAACCAGGCCACCACAAGTGGCTGCGCGCAAGGGCCTTCATGCGAACAATGCCAGGATGACCCTCGTGGAGGGACTCTAAGATCCTAGTCCTCATTGAGGTGGGAATGACAACTCTGTTTCCCCAAAGCAGACAACCCTGAGAAGTGGACAACTCGTTCCTTTTGGACCAGAAACTCTGAAACTCAGGACTAGGGCAGTGCTCAGGCCATCCAGACAAAACCCAAGAAAGGACACGTGAAAGTGTGTGATCTGTGCCTGTTTCAGCGGCAACATCCCTGGCATTCAGAGGGGACTCGGGCAAGGCTTGGATGGATAGAATGTTGACAGCTGGCGCAGGGTCAGCTTCTACTACTGGCAGGGGCAATCTACTGAGGCCATCAGCATGGCCCATTTCTTTCCCAGGCTTGTGGAGTAAGGAAAAATCATATGCAGACAGAAAAATAGACCACCTAAGCATTCTAGGGGAAATGATTTGGGGAGTTTGTTTACGTGTGGTAAACAGTCCCAGCAGAGGCTTATGGTCAGTGAAGACCGTGAAATGCCTGCCATACAAAAAATCATGGAATTTTTTAATTCCAGCAACAACAGCCAGAGCCTCCCTGTCTATCTGAGCATAGTTGCGCTCAGCAGAAGACAGTGTTCTGGAGTAATATGCAACAGGAACCTGAGTTCCATCAGACCTGAGGTGGCTCAGGACGGCTCCTACCCCGTAAGGGGAAGCATCACAAGCGATGCACACAGGAAGGGACTCATTGAAGTGTGCAAGTACACTGTTAGAAGTGAGTAAGGCCTTGACCTCATTGAAACTAGCCTCATGTGTTTGTGACCACTGCCAAACTGCTTGTTTGTCTAATAGCCTGTGAAGAGGCTCAGCTACACTAGCTTTATGTGGAAGAAAGGAATTGTAGAAATTCAGGAGGCCCAGAAAGGCCTGAAGTTCGGCCTTAGACTTTGGCCTAGGTGCTTCTAAAATGGCAGTTAGTTTGGATTCAGCAGGGTGAATCCCAGCAGCATCAATTTTGAATCCCAGAAATTCAGTAGAAGGCACCCCAATTTTGCATTTGTCTTTTTTGAGCTTGAGGCCTGTTTTCCTGAACCTTAACAGAACAGCCCTTAGCCTTTCAGCTAGAATGTGTGTGGAGTCTCCTGCAATTAAGACATCATCAAAGTAGGGGCAAACCCCGGTATGCCCCGTAGTGTGTTTTCCATTACGCTTTGGAAAATCCCAGGAGCGACATTCACTCCAAACTGTAGCCTTTTTACCTTAAAGGCTCCCCTGTGGGTCACAATAGTCTGAGCTATAGCAGCATCATCATCAACAGGCAGCTGTTGATATGCTTGAGCTAGGTCAAGCTTTGCAAAAACGCGCCCCCCCTTGAGGGAGGCCAGAATATGACTGACCACAGGAACAGGATTTGCTGCAATGCCTTATTAAGAGTGCATTTGTAGTCAGCACAAATGCGAATGTCCCCATTTGCCTTTAGAGGCGTGACAATGGGGGTCTCCCAAGGGCTGGAATCAACAGGTTCTAGAATTCCCTGTTGGATCAGTTTGTCTAACTCAGTGTCAATTTTACTCTTTAAAGCAAAAGGGACCCTTCTTGCTTTAATTCTAATGGGAGTGACAGTGGGGTCTAGTTTTAAGGACACAGGGGGTCCCTTGAATGTGCCCAGCTGGGGGCTGAAGACATCTGCAAATTCTTTGCAGACTTCCTGTAGGTCGAGTGTTTGTAAGCTGTTGAGCCCCGTGACGTGTATCCCCAAGGCTTCAAACCAATCGAGTCCTATGAGACTCGTTCGTTCACCCCCTACTACTAATAGGTCTAGTGGACCTTCAAAATTCTTATACTGTACGTTAAGGGTGGCCTCCTCCTTAACACACACTCTCGAATTTTGAAAGTCTGTTGACACAATGTCAGAAGGCCTTAATGTAGCCTGAGTTCCACTGCCGGAACAAATGTTCCTAAATGTATGTAAGGATATGATTGAAAGTGCAGACCCCATGTCTAGTTCCATAGTTAATGGAACCCCTTGTAGCTTCACCTAGAGTGACAGCTTTTTCTTGATGGGCTTGTGTGTGCCTGTCCTGAAGATGCTTCTTCGCGAAGCGCAAAAACCTACCCTATTCTGGATGGGGACCCTGGTACCTTTCAGGTGCAGTTCTTCCTGAGGTTGTACCTTTCGTCGGCCCAGACACACAGCTGCAATATGTCCTTGTTTTCCGCACGCCCGGCAGGTAGCGGAGCGGAACTTGCAGTCGGTTCTCCTGTGGCGACCTCCACAGCCGATGCCCTTGAGGGGAGCTGAAGAGCTTCCTTTCTGATTCCCTTCCTTTGCGGGGTGGAGGCGGTCGACTTCCTCGTCTGGATCCTCCTCGGAGTTCCCTTGGACGTCCTCTTGGTGCACGGATGCAACATCTGGACTGTTCCTGATCGGCCGCATGTTCTTGATGGCGCCGCCTGCTGCTTCTTCTGCGGTGACCTCTCTTAAGGCATCTTGGAAGGACAAGACTTCTTTGGCGAAAAGCCTCTGTTGTAAATCTCGATGCCTTAAGCTGCACACGAATCGGTCCCTCAGTCGTTCTTCGAGGTCCTTGAACTCGCAGTGCTTGGCGGCCTTCCTCAATGCGGTGATGTACTCTTTGGCTGACTCTCCGGATCGTTGATCCCTCTGCTCGAAGGTGTGGCGCCATGCGATGACGGACATCTTGGGCTGGAAGTGCTCCTTCAATAGCTTCTTTAGATCTGCGTAGCTGACAGACTCTAATGAAACAGGTGCTGCAAGGTTCTCTGCGATTTCGAAGGCGTCTTGGCCGCAGACACAAAGCAGGGTGGCAGCCTTCAAGCTATCTTCTCTCACTTGGTTCGCCTTGAGGTAGTTTTCCACCCTGGCTACGTAGGAGTCCCACCGCTCTGGATGTAAGACGTCGAACTCCGAAAGCCTTCCAACCTTTGCCATCTTCTGGAGATGGGTGTATCAGCCAGCCTACCCCCAAATGCACACTGGATTGGCGGGTAGCTGCCGAGTCAACTCCGTTCCGCCGCTCAGGACTCACTTGGGTAAGCTTACACCTCTTCCTTTCCAGACGATGTAAGGCATCCCATCTTCGTCGCCAGTGTTGTGTCCTTGGCGAAAAGCAGACACGAGAAGCAGTTGTAGTTCTCAGGTTTTCTTTTATTCTGTGTTCAGCTTACAGGTGAAGGCTTCAGCAATGCCCAAAAGCTCCCAGCCTCTTATATAGGCAATTCCCGGGTCAATGTGTTACTTTTCCTGCGCCAGCACCCGCGCATGTGCACAGGCGCTGGCGACAGCCTGTCTGGTCCCGGGCAGCTTGCACCTGCCCGGGACTGCCTGCAAACGCACCGAGCCTGTTTGCAAGGCTCGGGACATAACAGGTAATATCCAAGATTTTGTACTATTACATGATTCAGATGCTCAAGCAGACAAGAGCCATTTCAGACAATCCTTCAGATGCACACATAGAAAGGACTCAGCAGTGCAACATCCTGAGTAGGGGGAGCTACTGGCAGACAAAAGACCATCATATTTTGCCTGGAAAATAGCCATTTCCCTGAAGTTCATCCCAGTTGTCAACCTGCAAAAGAACAGGACATTCCTTTGATCACCGTTTCTCAGTAAGAGAGATGCCGTTAGAACTGTAACTCTTCCATACAATTATGCTTCCCAATTATGTGCTGAAAGGGAGGGACAAGAAATTTTTTGAATACAATTCTGAATGGAATTGGTTGACAGCGTGGGGTTGGTAATCAATTCTTTCCCAAATGGACTGGAACTGCAACACCCATGATTAATATGTCAGGGATTCTGGTGTTTTACTCCAAAGTATTTTGGTCCGACCCTTCATGGCTGACTCATTGAAAAGGGAGAGATCTTTTACTGAGTGTCTTCCTTTGCCCCCAACTGGTTTCTTGTACAAAAATGCTTTAGCCAGACTTACGTAATTTACTTACCCAAAAAGAAGGGCACAGGGATGAGTATACTTTTTTAAAGCACTGACAGACATAGGGATCAGAGCCTTTGGCATTCATAGCTTTCTCACAGCGATAGAAATCTACAGGAAAAAAAATTCAAAATGCATCTAATCTAAGATCCAGAAGAGCCCTTCAAAGAGAACTGTGTATAAGCCCGAAGAATCTACAAGACTGTGTATTGTTCAACACCTGGGTCTCCAAAATAAAAAAAGAACCTCCCTGTATCCACCATTTTGCCCTCCAACACATCCAAATACAGTGGTGGGATTCAGCCGGTTCTCACCACTTTGGCAGAAACTGTAGCTAATTTTTTGTTGCCCAGGTCCAGAATGGACTTCCGGAAGCGGCATCCACACAGAAAACCAGTTGTTCACATATTTGAATCCCAGCACTGTTCAGGCTGCATGATATAGAGCCAAGTTACATAAGGATGTGAAGGGTTCTGGAACAAAGGGAAATTGTTTAGTCTAACTGTTGGTTTCTTGCTTTTTGGCTCTGTTGTCTGATTTTTATTGGCTAACAAAGTTTACAAAGCAATGCTACCAACTTTCTAATGTGTGGCACTTCTGGACATAACTCTGCCAGCCTTCCAGATTGTTGGCCACCCAGCTGCTTAATTTGATCAAATAAAGTGCTGTTTAATCAAGAAGTCTCCTCTTGGGTTATGTAATTAGATTAATATGGTATCTCAAGTTTAAAGGATTGGGACCTTAGAGCAGAATGCATATATTTTATTTGTATGGTGCCAAACACAGTGGTTTTTTCCCCACAGGCTTTCCCATCTCTACCCATCCACAAAACTAACGTGCCAATGGCCAGGAGGACACAGACTGCTACCCAAAGACCCAGACGGGCGTGTCTTCCCTTCGAGGTGGAGGCAACCTGAGCACAGGGCCTCCCCGCACTCTTCACAAGGGTCAGGAGCACTGGGGATCATCCTCCAAGGACAAAAAGAAGGCACGGAGGAGCCAGGTTCCTCTCCCTGGGCGGCTACGAGTGAGTCCCGGCTTTTCACCGCAATGAGGCTGATGAAGCAGCAGCTTCCTCAAAGTGACTTTCAGCTGCAGAAGAGGCCACCAAGATGCCTTAGCATCACAATCAATAACAATATCTAACAAAAATAATTGCGGAGTAAATTTTACCCTCCTTCTAAAAATTCTTTGAATATTCCACCATATCTTAATCCAAAAAGCTTTTATATTTTTGCACGACCACCAAATATGATAATAGGTGGCATCCAAACAGCCACATCTCCAAAATTTAGGCTGTAAATCAGGGTACATAAGAGACATTTTTTGTGGATCAAGGTGCCATCTATAAAACATTTTATAAAAATTCTCCCTTAAGTTCTGGGCTTGTGTAAATTTAACATTCCTCACCCAGATAATTTCCCAGGTATCCAGTGGGATTGGCTCACCAAAATTTTGTGCCCATTTAATCATACAATCTTTGATTAATTCAGATTCTGAATCCAATTCCACTAGAACCCCGTAGATCCTCTTAATGTGAGTTTGTCTTTGATCCTTTACTTGTTTAAAAAGATTTTCATCTTCTCTAAGCCAGCCCATATTACAATCCATCTTCCATCTGTCCACTAATTGTCTATATTGAAACCATGAATAGGTAATATTTTCATATACTAAATCTTCCAAAGATTTTAACTGCCAATTTTGACCATCCCATCTAAGTAATTGTGTGTAAGAAACCCTATCCATTTTAACTCCTCTCCTTATCCCCTCTATCACATGCCAAGGTATAGCCCATAAAGGTATTTTAAAATCACTCTTATAATACTTCCTCCAAACCCGAAGTAAAGAGATCCTTATAATATGTGATTTAAAAACTCGATCCACTTTTTTATTAAAAATTAAGTAGGCATGCCATCCAAAAAGTAAATCCCAACCCTCCAGATGGAGTATTTCTACATTTGTTAAGTTTACCCAATCACTAATCAATGTTAAGGCCACAGCATCATAATATAATTTCAAATTCGGCACCTTGAGTCCACCCCTCTCACGAAAATCTTGCATAATTTTAAGCTTTACCCTTGGTTTTTTCCCTGCCCAAATAAATTTATTAATGCCTTTCTGCCATTCATTTAAGTTAAGCTCATTCTTTAAAATAGGTAGCATTTGAAACAAAAAAAGAAATTTTGGTAGGACATTCATTTTAATCACTGCAATTCTACCCATAAGAGATAGCTGTAACTTATCCCAATTCTTCAAATCTTTCTGTACCCTGATCCACAACTTTTCATAATTATTCTTGTACAATTTTACATTAGAAACAGATAAAGTAACCCCCAAATATTTTACCTTATCAACAACTTCAAAATCTGTTAAATTAATCAAAATCTGCTTGTCCCGGTTAGTCATGTTTTTAGGTAATATTTTAGTCTTATTATTATTAATTTTAAAACCCGAAACACATCCATATTGTTGAATCAATTGTAGTAACTTTACTACAGAATAAGTAGGTTGAGACAGAGTAACCACCAAGTCATCTGCAAAAGCTCTTAACTTATATTCTTTTTTGTTAACTTCTATTCCTTTTATTTCCTGCAACTCTCGAATTTTAATCAACAAAATTTCCAATGTTAAGACAAACAATAACGGTGACAATGGACATCCCTGTCTTGTACCTTTTTCTATTGTAAAAACCTCTGACAAACCCCCATTGACAATAAGTTGTGCCGTTTGTTTTTGATATATAGCACCTAGAGCTTGTGATATTTTTTCTCCAAAATTCATCTCCTCAATTAATCTTAACATAAACTGCCAATTCAGTTGGTCAAAGGCTTTTTCAGCATCTAAAAATATCAGCCCTGCAGAGATTTGGTTATTCTTATCTAAATATTCTAATAAGTTAATAATTTGTCTAACATTATTTTTCATATACCTTCCGGTTATAAAACCCGATTAATCCTTATGTATAAGCTGCTGCAAAACCCTCATAAACCTATTAGCTAAAATTTTTGCAAAAATTTTATAATCCACATTTAAGAGAGATATAGGCCTATAATTCTTTGGTAAGGTAAGATCTTGATCCTCTTTTGGAATTAAGGATATAAAAGCACTGCGCCATGACGGAGGAATCTCTGAACCCTGTAATATATTATTAAAAAGCTCACATAAAGGTTGAGTCATCTCTTCTACTAAGGTTTTATAGTAAATGGATGTCAAACCATCCATACCCGGCGCTTTACCTAATTTTAATTGCTTAATAACTGTCACAATTTCCTCATTAGTAATTAAACCATTGATTTCTTGTTTCTGATCTTCTGTTAGTTTAGGAAAGTTAGCCTCACTTAAATAATTATTTATATCTAAAGTTTGTACATTAGTACTCTTATATAATTTCTGATAATAATCTAGAAAAGATTTCTTGATCAACTCTTTCTGATACACTAATTTACCGTTATAATTTATTTTATCTATAATTCTCTGTCTCTGTTTCTTTCTTAATTGATAGGCCAACCATCTCCCTGGTTTATTAGCGTTACAAAATGTATTTTGTTTCATAAACATTAGATTAGTTGCGGCTTGATCAGCCATCAACATATTAAATTGTGTTCTTAACAGCTTTATAGCTTCTTTAACCTTATCATCTGAAGGATTTAAAATCAAAAACTTCTCTTTTAGTTTAATCTCATCTTCCAATTCTTTACGTTTCTGAATCTGCCTTTGTCTATAAACATTATTCATCTTTATCAAGATCCCACGCATGAAGGCTTTACCTGCATGCCATACCATTAATGTTGATGTACCCTTATACATATTTAAAGCAAAGTAATCCTTTAAGCACTCCTTTAATTTTTGAACATTTTTTTCTTGTTTAAATAAGTTCTCATTCACCCTCCAGGATCTCCTCTCCTCTTTTTCGACAACCAATTCCATCCAAACTGGACTATGATCCGTCAGTGACCTAGGAAAATTTTTTACATTCTTTACCCTATTATATAGGTCTGTTGTAATCAAAAAAAAAATCAATCCTTGAAAAAGATTGGTGTCTATCTGAGAAGAAGGTAAAATCTCTCTCCTCTTGGTTATGTTCACGCCAATAATCCCTCAACTCCCAGTCCTCTTTCAAGTCAAAAAAGGCTTTAGGTAATTTAGCCTGTTTGAAGAAAGTAGAAGAACCTTTTTTGTCCTTTTGTGTATCTAAAACACCATTCCAATCTCCCATTAATATCACAGACCTATAGTCCAGCGAAGTTATTTTCTGATGTAACAATCTATAAAATTGTTCCTGTTGCTGATTTGGTGCGTACAATCCCACTATAAGTATTTTCTTACCATATAGACCAAGTTCAATCATAACATATATTCCTTGAGGATCTGATTCTACCAGGCAGGCTGGTAGACTTTGCTTAACATAAATAACCACACCCCCTTTTTTCCCAGGGGCAGGAGATGCAAAATGAGATCCCAAGCGAGCATTAGCTAAATATTTTTGATCTTTAAGTAAGATATGAGTTTCCTGTAAGCAAATAATATCATTATTATGTTGCTTTAAATAATAAAAGATTTTCTTTCTTTTCTGCGGGGAATTGAGGCCGTTAACATTCCAGGTCAGGAACTTTGCCATCTCCCTTGACCAGGAGCCTGGAGAAAACTGCCTGAAGATCTGCCACTGAAGAATGTGTTGCAGAACTCTTGGGTCTTGCTCCTCCCACCGGCATTGAAACACTCTCATGAGAAGATTCTTTAGCTTCTTTCTTCTGTTGTTCCTTTTCCTTACGTTTATGTGCTGCGCGGGTCATTCTCTGCTCTTTAACCTCTGTTTGGCATAGCCATTCCACCTGTGGTTTTCCAACAGCCATCAAACCTAGTCCTCCAGACTGCTGTTCGACCTCTTTGCCACCCAGAGCTTTCTGAATCATAGATGGAGATGAGCCTGCTCCCAGGACCGTATTATAAAATTCTTTGGCTTTAGCAACCGTGTTAAGTCTGTAACGTGTCCCCGCATGGCTCAAAACAATACCCATCGGAATCTCCCATCTGAATGGCATCAATCTTGTTTTAAGTTCATTAGTTAAAAAAGCAAAGTCTTTTCTATTTCTTAAAATTTTAGATGGGATTTCCTTTAGAATGATGACATCTTGGGCAGCAATCTGGAACCTCTTATTATAAAAAGCTTGTATAATCTCATTACGCAGAGACCTCTTTGAGAAGTAAATCACCACATCTCTTGGCAAATTCTTTTGTTTCGCAATCCAAGAATTAACTCTGTAAATTTTTTCCACTTCTCTACGTAATCCATCTTTATCCCTATTCAGAGCAACAGCTAGATCATTCATCACCATCTCCATCAGGTCTTGATTCATGTCTTCTTTAAGACCCCTAATTCTCAAAGCATATTCCATTTGCCTATACTGAGACATAAGAATATCCTCTTGTGAAGTTTCCATCTTTTTTTTCCATATCTTGAAATTTATACTCAAGGAGGTCTACTTTCTCTGCAACTTCTTCCACTCTGGAATCCAACTTCACGACCACAGAAGCCAATCCTGATAAAGCTGTAACTATGTCTTCCCTCAGAATAATATTATTCTCCACTAAAAGCTCCTTCATTTCCTCTTTAGTTTCAGATTTATTCTGTTCAAGAAGATTTTTGTTCTGTTTAAAAAGGTCCTTCATTTCCTCTTTACTTTCAGACTTGCTCTGTTCAAGAAGTTGCTTCATTTCCTCCCTGATTTGAGCTACAGCATTTCCCATTATATCTTTAATATCTTGTGCAGACAAGGCTGGCAAGGGAGGAGAAGATGGAGGTGTAACCTTAGATTGCAGCACTGGTGGTGTAACTTTAAGTTGTTGTTGTACAGTTGCAATTACAGGAGAAGAAACCACCTTAGAGACTATAGAAGCTGGTTGTCTCTTTGAAGCCATTTTTTTAAAAGTCTTATTCTCTCTTTCTTTCTTCTTAAAAAAAAGATACTAAAATCCTTAAAATTAAAAAAAGGACCAGGGAGAGTGCAAAAAAAAAAAAACAACAACTTCCAAAGCGTTTTAAAAGAAAAAGGAAAAAAGAAACTTGAAAGAGAAAAAAACTATGCTCATTTAAGTCCGTTCTTTCTTTCCGGAAAGGAAAAAAAAAGCACTTTCAAAACGCCATTTTACTTTCACTCTCACTCTCCGCCGAAAAAAAACAAAAGGAAAAAAAAATCAGCATAAGCTAAAAAAGAAATAAAAAATTACAACTCTAACTCTAAGTAAAATCCTTTAAACAGTTCTGTCCGCTTTAAAAATCACTCACCAGAAAACTTTAGGCGCGGAGATGGTAGCAGCGTTTCACTTTGTTTCCGAAGAAACAAAGACAGCTGGGAGGCGGAGAAAGCACGAACTCCGAGGGAACACTCTTTCTACCCACCCAAAAAAGAATCCGGGGGGGTTAAGAGGTTCTACCTTTATTCGTGTGGTCTCTACCCCTTCCCTTCGTCCGGGAAGGGGATTTCGAGCCGCGGGCCAGCTGATGCGCGCTGTGCTCCGCAGATCTGACGCCGTCCCAGGAGGACGGCTACAAGGTAGCCGCCATCATCGTCGCTGACCACCGGAAGCTCTCAATAATTTCTGTTATCACCCATACAGTCAGCTACAAAGTTTCCCATGTAAATATAAGCTATTTAACGCAAAGAATGAAAAGGCTTTTATTTTGTTAAAAGGGGTCCAGTGAGAAAGCACCACATATACCACAGTAATGACATCTGTCCCATTCTTTGAGAACATTACCATAGATAAAGCATGTGGTAGAAGATATTCGTAAATCATTAACTGAGTTAGCAGGATAAACACAGGCATGGGTACTATGCATTTTATTAGAATGGGTAATATCCAAGATTTTGTACTATTACATGATTCAGATGCTCAAGCAGACAAGAGCCATTTCAGACAATCCTTCAGATGCACACATAGAAAGGACTCAGCAGTGCAACATCCTGAGTAGGGGGAGCTACTGGCAGACAAAAGACCATCATATTTTGCCTGGAAAACAGCCATTTCCCTGAAGTTCATCCCAGTTGTCAACCTGCAAAAGAACAGGACATTCCTTTGATCACCGTTTCTCAGTAAGAGAGATGCCGTTAGAACTGTAACTCTTCCATACAATTATGCTTCCCAATTATGTGCTGAAAGGGAGGGACAAGAAATTTTTTGAATACAATTCTGAATGGAATTTGTTGACTGTGTGGGGTTGGTAATCAATTGTTTCCCAAATGGACTGGAACTGCAACACCCATGATTAATATGTCAGGGATTCTGGTGTTTTACTCCAAAGTATTTTGGTCCGACCCTTCATGGCTGACTCATTGAAAAGAGAAAGATCTTTTACTGAGTGTCTTCCTTTGCCCCCAACTGGTTTTTGTACAAAAACGCTTTAGCCAGACTTACGTAATTTACTTACCCAAAAAGAAGGGCACAGGGATGAGTATACTTTTTTAAAACACTGACAGACATAGGGATCAGAGCCTTTGGCATTCATAGCTTTCTCACAGCGATAGAAATCTACAGGAAAAAAATTCAAAATGCATCTAATCTAAGATCCAGAAGAGCCCTTCAAACAGAACTGTGTATAAGCCTGAAGAATCTACAAGACTGTGTATTGTTCAACACCTGGGTCTCCAAAATAAAAAAAGAACTTCCCTGTATCCACCATTTTGCCCTCCAACACATCCAAATACAGTGGTGGGATTCAGCTGGTTCTCACCACTTTGGCAGAAACTGTAGCTAATTTTTTGTTGCCCAGGCCCAGAATGGACTTCCGGAAGTGGCATCCACACAGAAAACCAGTTGTTCACATATTTGAATCCCAGCACTGTTCAGGCTGCATGATATAGAGCCAAGTTACATAAGGATGTGAAGGGTTCTGGAACAAAGGGAAATTGTTTAGTCTAACTGTTGGTTTCTTGCTTTTTGGCTCTGTTGTCTGATTTTTATTGGCTAACAAAGTTTACAAAGCAATGCTACCAACTTTCTAATGTGTGGCACTTCTGGACATAACTCTGCCAGCCTTCCAGATTGTTGGCCACCCAGCTGCTTAATTTGATCAAATAAAGTGCTGTTTAATCAAGAAGTCTCCTCTTGGGTTATGTAATTAGATTAATATGGTATCTCAAGTTTAAAGGATTGGGACCTTAGAGCAGAATGCATATATTTTATTTGTATGGTGCCAAACACAGTGGTTTTTTTCCCCACAGGCTTTCCCATCTCTACCCATCCCCAAAACTAACGTGCCAATGGCCAGGAGGACACAAACTGCTACCCAAAGACCCAGACGGGCGTGTCTTCCCTTCGAGGTGGAGGCAACCTGAGCACAGGGCCTTCCCGCACTCTTCACAAGGTTCAGGAGCACCAGGGATCATCCTCCAAGGACAAAAAGAAGGCACGGAGGAGCCAGGTTCCTCTCTCCGGGCGGCTGCGAATGAGTCCCGGCTTCTCATCGCAATGAGGCTGACGAAGCAGCAGCTTCCTCAAAGTGACTTTCAGCTGCAGAAGAGGCCACCAAGATGCCAGAATCAGCGACGGGGAGGCTAGAGCAGCATCGGAAGAACAGGTGCAAGGACGCTGTAGCTCTGCCCCTCTTTTTCCTGTTGGGTCCCAACCCCCAAAGCGCAGCTTCTTCTAGAGCAGAGGTGGGGAACTATGGCTCCCCTTATGATTTGTGGACTTCAACTCCCAGAATTCCTGAGCCAGTCCGGTACCATAGCTGGATACCCTCCCTCCAGTTGTACAGGCTTCAATTTCCCTAATTCTCCACAATTACCATCCTTACTGGGAAATTCTAGGAGTTGAAATCCTGGAGAGGATGAAATTTAAAGGTGAAGGCTAATTTTAAACAAATCAAATTCAAACAAATTACAACTGTGGAGAACATCCATCCAGTGCTTTGCATAGCCAGCTTTCCTGATCTGCTTTTCCAAAACTAGATCCTAGAATGGAAAATGTGGAGTCTTTTCAAACCAGTCTCACAACCCTGAAAATTGTTGGACTTAAGTTAGTATCAGTTGCCACTATTCATAATATGGAAACAGTTGTTTCTCCACACCAGCTAAACAAATGGGTCAACTGAGTGTATGGTTGCCTTTATATGGTCTAACTCCCTGGCTTTTTTAGGTTTAAAAATATTTCCAGTTAAAAGAAAAAAAAATCTATTTTCCTTCTGTCCTAAAGCTGAAGTGAATTCTGCACCAACATCTCACATAGACTGCATTAATGACATATTAGGGTTTTTTGCTTTCCACGAGGGTCTGTTTTTATTGAGATACATATCCAGTCTTGTTATCAGTGTTCTTTCGTGCTTCAGGCTCAGTGGTGGGATTCTGCCGGTTCGCACCACTTCGGCAGAAGCTGTAGCTAATTTCTTGTTGCCCAGGCCCAGAATGGACTTCCGGAAGCGGCATCCATAGAGAGAACCGGTTATTCACATATTTGAATCCCACCCCTGTTCAGGCTGCATGATATACAGCCAAGTTACATAAGGATGTGAAGGGTTCTGGAACAAAGGGAAATTGTTTAGTCTAACTGTTGCTTTTTGCTTTTTGTAATCAGCTTTAGCTCCAGAGAAATTTCATACAAGCTTGGGAAACGTGTACATGGATGGGATATACTGAAGGAGGAAATAAGGGAGTGCACAGGAATGATTGATGTCTTTCTTATGATGGAATGGCTCTGTTGTCTGATTTTCATTGGCTAACAAAGTTTATAAAGCAATTCTACCAACTTTCTAAGACGTGGCACTTCTGGACGTGACTCTGCCAGCCTTCCAGATTGTTGGCCACCCAGCTGCTTAATTTGATCAAATAAAGTGCTGCTTAATGAAGAAATCTCCTCTTGGGTTATCTAATTAGATTAATATGGTATCTCAAGTTTAAGTAAGGGACTGGGACCTTACAGTACCATGCATGTCTTTCATTTGTATGGTGTCATCACAGCACACATGCCTCTGATTCCCTAGTAGATACTGCCTTTAAGAGTATATAGAAAATACACAACACCAGACATAGCACCCAAACACTTTTTTTCCGCTAGAAAGATATATAGCTGGGGTCTTCAAACCTGGCCCTTTTATGACTTGTGGACTTCAACTCCCAGAATTCCTCAGCCAGGCATAGCTGAGTTTTGGGTGATATTTTCACTCAACTGTTTAAACCATGAGTCTCCTCTTCGTAAAACAGAGTTGTTGGCTTAGCCTGCTCAATAGTTAGCCTGCAAAGAAACACATAGTAATCTAACACAATGTGTGAGCCCATGTGATATCTGATGCCCTTTTCAAGATCAGATCTTTCTGTGTTCACTGGCTGCCTATGATAAGAGGAGGCAACATATGAGGCTATTCAAATATGTTGAAATCAAGACCATGTACCCATGTACATTTTTCACATGGTACTTGCTTAGCCCAGAACATGGGATTAGCAACTAAGAAATGAGCAGGTGTGAAATGGCTGACTCTGGTGTAATAATTTCTGTTATCATCCACACAGGCAGCTACAAAGTTTCCCATGTAAATATAAGCTATTTAACACAATGAATGGAAAGGCTTCTATCTTGTTAAAAGGGTCCAGTGAGAAAGCACCACATATACCATAGTAATGACATCTGTGGTAGAAGATATTCATGAATCATTAATGGAGTTAGCAGGATAAACACAGGGATGGGTATTATGCATTTTATTAGAATGGGTAATATCCAAGATTTGTACTATTAAATGATTCAGATGATCAAGAAGATAACAGCCATTTCAGACAATCCTTCAGATGTACACATAGAAAGGACTCAGCAGTGCAACATCCTGAGAAGGAGGAGGTACTGGCAGACAAAAGACTATCAGATTTTGCCTGGAAAACAGCCATTTCCCTGAAGTTCATCCCAGTTGTCAACTTGCAAAAGAACAGGACATTCCTTTGATCACCATTTCTCAATAAGAGTGATCCGTTAGAACTGTAACTCTTCCATACAATTATGCTTCTCAAGTATATCCTGAAAGAGAGGGACAAGAAATATTTTGAATACAATTCTGAATGGAGGTTTTTGATGGCGTGGAGTTGGTAATCAATTGTTTCCCAGATGGACTGGAACTACAACACCCATGATTGATATGCCAGGGATTCTAGTGCTTTACTCCAAAGTATTTTGGTTTGACCCTTCATGGCTGACCCACTGAAAAGGGAGAGATCTTTTACTGAGTGTCTTCCTTTGCCCCCAACTGGTTTTTGTACAAAAACGCTTTAGCCAGACTTATGTAATTTACTTACCCCAAAAGAAGGGCACAGGGATGAGTATACTTTTTTGTACCACTGACAAGACATAGGGATCAGAGCCTTTGGCATTCATAGCTTTCTCACAGCGATGGAAATCTACCAGGAAAAAAAAAATTCAAAATGCATCGAATCTAGGATTCAGAAGAGCTCTTAAAACAGAACTGTGTATAAGCCTGAAGAATCTAGAAGACTGTGTATTGTCCAACACCTGGGTCTCCAAAATAAAAAAAAGAACTTCCCTGTATCTACCATTTTGCCCTACAACACATCCAAATACAGTGATTCAGCCAGTTTGCACCAATTTGGCAGAAATGGTAGCTAATTTTTTGTTGCTCAGGCCCAGAATGGACTTCTGGAAGCGGCATCCACACAGAAAACTGGTTGTTCACATATTTGAATCCCACCGCTAGTCAGGCTGCATGATATAGAGCCCGGTTACATAAGGATGTGAAGGATTCTGGAACAAAGGGAAATTGTTTACTCTAACTGTTGCTTTCTTGCTTTTTGGAATCGGCTTTTGCACCAAAGAAATTTCATGCAATCTTGGGTAACGTGTACATGGATGGGATATACATGTATATGGGTGGAGGGAATAAGGGAGTGTCATTCTTATGATGTCTTTCTTATGATGTAATGCTCTGTTGTCTGATTTTCATTGGCTAACAAAGTGTATAAAGCAATGCTACCAACTTTCTGAGACGTGACACTTCTGGACGTGACTCTGCCAGTGTTCCAGATTGTTGGCCACCCAGCTGCTTAATTTGATCAAATAAAGTGCTGCTTGATCAAGAAGTCTCTGCTTGGGTTATCTGATTAGACTGATACGGTATCTCAGGTTTAAGTAAAGGACTGGGATCTTACAGGTGAGAAACTGTTGTTTTTTCCCCATCTGTCCTTCTGCCTCGGAGTGGAAGAGAACAAAGTGATTAATCAAATATTTTGAACTGTGCATTCTTGCCAAAATTGTTCCCCATTTCTAAATTCCAGGCAAACAGCTTGCCGTGCAGAGTTGAAGCTATGGTGCTGATCAGAGTGCTAGCAAACCTTCTGATACTACAGCTTTCTTACGGTAAGAGTCTGGACAATGGCGCAAAGGGTGGACGGAGCTTTAGGTGTCTTTTTCTGTTTAAACCTCCAGTTACAAGAGTCAACTTACATGTAATTATTAACTGTAGATGTATAAGCAGGTCACAAGTAGAGAGTGGGTGAAGAAGGCCCGGTTGGTGCAAATGGGGAAGACCATTGCTGTATTTATAATGATAGTATGAATTTATACATGTATTCATATCAGTTAAAAAGTACTAACCAGTTAAAAATATATAATCCCAAATATGGTCAGCTTCCTTTCGTGTTTCTATTTATTTGGCAACTGACTTCAATAGAGGAAGATAACTTATTAATTAATATAAAATGCATTGAGAAAAAAGTTGGGAAGGGGTTTTCAGTGTTAAGGTGGTCTTTAAAAAATGGCGTACGAGATGGCCATTGATTTTTGTCCAAACTGGTAAAATAAATCTGTTGGATTTAACCTAGCTCCCATTCTATTAGATTTGCTACATGGTACAGTATGCAATACCTTGGTCATTGCTTCTGAAACAAATATCAAAACCAATATGCATGGATTTTACTGCCATCAATGTTGGCTCAAACTGTTTTTAGTGAACCAAATACTAATGTTACCAACTTCCCATAGAGTAAATTTCATTTTCATTAATCTCTTCCCCTCTTTCACTCCTTCTGCCCCCTATTCTCCCCATCATGAGGCCATATATTTGGCTTAGCAATGCAATACAGCAAGATCATACTCTGGACCAAATGCTTCTAAATGTCCATCCTTTTTAGAAGCTCATCTGAACACACCAGCACACGTTAAAAATGAAATTCTGATGCCCTTTCTCAAGTGTGTGTGTGTGTGCATGGCTTTTTTTGTCATAGAACGCCCAGAACAGAGTTCTGGCACCTTTTTTTGGATGGAACCTTGTAGGATAGGCAAGGCGGGTTGTATGACATGTGTGAGTTCCGGCATCTTTTATTTTTACAAAGAAGCACACACACACACACACACACACACACACACACACATTAATCACTTAAGATTTACAGGCAGTTTAAATAAATAAAATAAATAAAAATATCTACATGGGCATAGGCATATATATATGATTTGCAAATAATCCATTTTATTCTACTGGTTTGATGCTGTGCGTCCCACAGTCATCTGTTACCCTCCAAAATTAGTTTACTGATAGAAACACTACCAATAAAAGTGATTCTGTTCTACTCCACAGCCAAACACTGAACGTTTTTGGTTTCTTTGCAGCACAAAAGTCTTCTGAACTGGTCATTGGAGGTGATGAATGTAACATAAATGAACATCGTTTCCTTGTAGCCTTGTATGACCCTGACAGGTTTCTCTGTAGTGGGATTTTGCTCAACGAGGAATGGGTGCTCACTGCTGCACACTGCGACAGGTGAGGGCATAACAGAATATGGAAGGGTTGAGGGAAATCGTGTTTAGATATCCAGATTTTTTAATAATGTTTCTGCTAGTTTTTAGTGACTTCTCTGTGCATTTTGAATGGATGTTATGCTGTTACTGTTATTGCTCCTCACAATCATATTAAATTATATTTATGGTCGAATTTCCATCTTCTTCACCATAGTATTCATATCTTTCCTTTTTTTCTGGGATATAATAATAACAAGAATAACAAAATCTAGAACATTACCTGAATACCATCAACATTGACAAAATCACCACAGTCAATTGCCAAAGGCATCCTTACTTGGAACATCCTGTGACAATCCCTTTAATACCATGGAACCACAAAATTTACTACCCCAGGTCCTTGGGAAGACCTGATAGGTGGATAAAAATGCCAAATCCAGTCTAAATATCTGACTGACTGTGCAACTAACCAGAAAATATTAACCATATGCTGCCTGACTCTGGAGGTTTGCCATAAGAAAATAAATTAAAAAAAAAATCAGTAAAACATAAAACATAAAAAGATGATGAAGTGAGAGGCTTCTCTCTCCCTTACCAAAGGCCTAGGTGAGGCACTACATCTTAATATCTCTGGATGGTGGGCACCATCCAGTTTTTGTGTTCGTCTTTATCTATCCAACCATCCTTTCAGATAGGCTGGGTTGAGAGAGGATGTGCGCAAGTCATAACATTAGTACCGTGACCACATGGGTTCTATCTTTAACACACTCATCTATAATTTATAAGTGCAACATTCACTAAATATACATCCATGTCAAGAAAGAGATGGATTCATACTATGTGCAGAGCTTTTTAATTGCTAAACAGCCCACAGGTGAATTCATGCTTGAAGTTTTTGCATAAACAATGGAAATAGCTTATTCAATCAGCTTGAATACATTTCTTCAGTGAACCCATATCTCTAGGACATTGAATGTATCTCTTCCTATTTCTGGCAGGTTTTCCCCCCAAACACAGTAGGAGAAGGTGGGTTATGGCCCTTTCTTGTTTGGTGCTAACAATCCTGCTTGAGGGCCAAAATGAGGTCAAGGACCATCCCAAGTAATATAGAGTTTACTTTAAGTTGTTGTTGTTAACTTCCTGTTTTTCTTGTAGGAGAAATATCCGGATAAAGCTTGGTATGCATAGCAAAACTGTACCAAATGAGGATGAGCAGACAAGAGTCCCAAAGGAGAAGTTCTTTTGTCTTAGTAACAAAAACTATACCCTTTGGGACAAGGACATCATGTTGATCAGGCTGGACAGCCCTGTTAGCAATAGTGAACATATCGCGCCTCTCAGCTTGCCTTCCAGCCCTCCTAGTGTGGGCTCAATTTGCCGTATTATGGGATGGGGCAGAATCTCACCTAGTGAAGGTAGGGATCTCTATCTATACTCTCAGACTCAGCTTTTGATATAACATCAACTAGGTCTAGGGTCCCACTATGTCACCCATGAATATTGGAATGTGGATGGACAATGGGATTCCCTAAGATTCCATTTCTTCATCCATTCCACACCCACAAGGTCCTTGGAATAAAAGAAATAAGTAAGGAACTGGCATGCTGTATAGCTAAAAAAAACCCTATAGGATCAGGTTTATTTATAGCAGTGCTGTTGGGAATCAGAAAAGTCCCATTAGCATGGCAGTCTTACCTGGTTTCATTACCTTTAATAATGGGATGTTTTGTGAATGGCCATGGCCCTTTTGGAAATGGAGAAGTCTCATGCGGAGGATGTTTTCAGAGTACATTTATCTCTTGCTCTCAAAATACCAAATATGAACTCAAAAACATGGTCTATCCTTGGATGGATATTAAATATCTGTGGATGATTGCAGATGATTTCTTCCTTTTAAGTCCTGGTGGTGCAGTGGTTAGAATGCAGTATTGCAGGCTATCTCTGCTCCCAGCCTGGAATTCGATCCTGACGGGGCTCAAGGTTGACTCAGCCTTCCATCCTTTTGAGGTTGATAAAAGGAGGACTCAGACTGTTGGGGGCAATATGCTGATATTGTAAATCACCCAGAGAGTGCAGTATATAGGTCTAAGTACTATTGCTATTGCTAGTAAGGCATGTAAGTGTTATCTGTGCTCTCAGCTTTGGCTTATGGTCATCCACACATTCAAGCTTGTCAAGGTAGGTAGATCTTGTAAGCCTACCTTGTTTTCTACCTAGATTTCTACCAAATAGGTGTAGTTAGAGCAGACAAGTCACACAGCCTTGGTCAAGAGTTGGGAAATAATTAAGGACTCACACAAATAATTTTCAACTAACTACTGAGGCACCTCAGGATTTTTGGAATACATGGAGACCCAGTGAATTTAAAGTAACATCAAAACTTTACTGCTTGCGATGTAAATTTGCTCTTTCTCATACCCACACATGCACCCATCCATGTTTAGACACATCCTTCTCAATTAGGCTGCCAGGCATTAGCTAGAGGGACAGAAACTCCTAAGTTGTGGATGCAAAGATGACTCAAGGAGTGGGTGAACTTTAGGACCTCTTTTTATCCTGAAAAGTTCTTGATTTGTTGATTAGCTGGGATTGGGGTTTATTCCATATTCTCAGGCTCAACTTTGTCTGATTCAGATGACATTTTTCTTTTGTTTCCTTACACTTATTTCCACCTCATCTGTCCTCCCCAAGGGATCTTTTGGACAAGATTCCTGGCTTTTTGTTCTTGTACACAATACAAACCTATGCGTCTTCTTCATCTTCAGATATGGAAGTTTCAGTATGCTGGCTGAGGAATTTTGGGAGTGCAAGTTCCCAAGTCTTAAAGTGGCCAAGTTTGGAGACCCCCATTCTAGGTCATCTCCAGGGGGTGCGAGATCAGTTCTGTGACTTTTGAACTAGCAAAAACCCACTTTTCCAACAAGGCAATCTTTGCATAGAGTGCTGGAGAAATTTGAGAAACCTTCAAATGCCCATCAGCTGATTTAAAACCTACTAATATCTTGACAAAAAACATTTAACTAAATCTGTTTTTCCCAGGTATCCCTTTGAATGGCTTTGAAAGACAATACTTCCTATTCCCAGGCAATGAGATCAGCTTCACTGGTTGGAGACAATGGAAATTATAGCTCTATTTATCTAGGTGGTAAATTGTGAAAGGTAGAATTTTGTCTATTTTTTTTCAGAGACTTATCCCGATGTCCCTCATTGTGCTAACATTAACCTACTCGATTATGAGGTGTGTCTAGCAGCTTACCCAGAATTTGGGTTGCCAGCGACAAGCAAAACATTGTGTGCAGGTATCCTGGAAGGAGGCAAAGATACATGTAAGGTAAGATGATCCGTTTTAAGACAGACTCCTAAAGAAATGATGCCAAATTTCAAAGCTGTGACAGAGATCTAGCCTTGAAGGCATCTTGTAGAATCATACAAAGTTACAGCTTTTTCTAACTCAAGTGCCTTCTAGGTGTCTAGATTTCCAGACTTCCCAATACTGGTGATTCTGGTGGGGGAAACTCAAGGAGTTAAATTCTTCTACAAGGATCCTGGATTGGGGAATATCGACGTGAAACATTGGGGGCTATATATAAATGGACGGTGGGAGGGAATTATTTCCTCCCCTTCCCTTTCATAGATATGGTAGTAATGTCTCATATATGATTTTTCTCAACAGGGTGATGCTGGGGGACCCCTCATCTGTAATGGACAATTCCAGGGCATTTTATCTTGGGGAGATGATCCTTGTGCCCAACCGCGTTTGCCTGCCGTCTATACCAAAGTCTTCGATCATCTTGACTGGATCCAGAGCATTATTGCAGGAAATACAGATGCAACTTGCCCCTTTGTAAACTTTTGAAAAGGGGGAGAAAATGTAACATATTAGTACATCTCTTCTATATCCCTAACCATATCCAACTGCATTGGAATATATTCCCAGGCAGTAAGCTTTTTTAAGACTCAAATAGGATTGCCTTGGGAGTAATAAATGCTCAAAATAGTGCTGCAGGGATCATGTCCCGTTTAATTTCAGTATAAAACAATTTCCATCAAATGAAGGCCTGTTTTAGAGCGAGGTGCAAAATTTTCTGACACTAAAATGGACCATTCCAAATATTTTAACCTCTGAATATCTTTCAATTTCTGTCCACTTCTGGGACAGTGGGGTCCTTGATGCTCTTTGAGCTTGTCTTCTTGCAGATGTTTCATTACCCAGCTAGGTAACATAGTAATAGTAATAGTAGTAAAGTTGGAAGGGACCTTGGAGGTCATCTAGTCCAACCCCCTGCTCGGGCAGGAAACCCTACACCATTTCGGACAAATGGCTGTCCAGTCTCTTCTTAAAAACTTCCAGTGTTGGAGCATTTACTGCTTCTGGAGGCAGGCTGTTCCACTGATTAATTGTTCTCACTGTCAGGAAGTTTCTCCTTAGTTCTAGTTGCTTCTCTCCTTGATTAGTTTCCACCCGTTGCTTCTTGTCCTGCCTTCAGGTGCTTTGGAAAATAGCTTAATTCCCTCTTCTTTATGGCAGCCCCTGAGATATTGGAATACTGCTATCATGTCCCCCCTTGTCCTTCTCTTCATTAAACTAGACATACCCAATTCTAGCAACCGTTCCTTATATGTTTTAGCCTCCAGTCCCCTAATCATCTTTGTTGCTCTTCTCTGTAATCTTTCTAGAGTCTCAACATCTTTTTTACATCGTGGTGACCAAAACTGGATGCAGTATTCCAAGTGTGGCCTTACCAAGGCATTGAAGAGTGGTATTAATACTTCACGTGATCTTGATTCTATCCCTCTGTTAATGCAGCCTAGCACTGTGTTGGCCTTTTGGGCAGCTGCAGCACACTGCTGGCTCATATTTAAGTGATTGTCTACTAGGACTCCGAGGTCCCTCTCACAGTTACTACTATTGAGCATGGTGCCACCTATGCTGTACTTGTGCATTTGGTTTTTCTTGCCTAAATGTAGAACCTTGCTTTTTTCACCATTGAATTTCATTTTGTTAGTTAGTGCCCAGTGTTCAAGTCTGTCCAGATCCTTCTGTATCTTAAGCCTGTCTTCTGGAGTGTTGGCTATTCCTGCCAGCTTGGTGTCGTCTGCAAATTTGATGAGTTCCCCATCTATCCCTTCATCCAAATCGTTGATGAAGATGTTGAAGAGTACTGGGCCCAGAACAGAGCCCTGGGGCACCCCACTACACACTTCCCTCCATATAGATGCAGTTCCATTGAGGACCACTCGCTGAGTACGGCCGGTCAGCCAGCTACGGATCCATCTGGTGGTGGTTCTGTCTACCCCACATTTTTCTATCTTGTCAAGTAGTAGGTTGTGATCTACTTTATCAAATGCCTTACTGAAGTCCAAGTAAATTATGTCCACAGCATTCCTCTGATCCACTAATTTTGTCACTTGGTCAAAGAATGCAATAAGATTTGTCTGGCATGATCTATTTTTGACAAACCCATGTTGGCTTTTAGTAATGACTTTGTTTGCCTCTAGGTGTTCGTTGATTCGTTGTTTGATTATCTTTTCCAGGATCTTCCCAGGTATTGAGGTCAGGCTGATAGGTCTGTAATTTCCTGGATCCATTTTTTTTCCTTTTTTGAGGATGGGAACTACATCAGCTCTTTTCCAGTCCTCTGGTAGTTCCCCTGTGTTCCAGGATCTTTGAAAAATATAGTTCAGTGGCTCCGATATCACATCTGCCAGTTCCTTGAGAACTCTGGGGTGTAATCCGTCTGGTCCTGGCGATTTGAACTCATCTAGGCTGGACAGGTGCTCACTAACGATTTTCTTGCCTATCTTAACTTGTGTTTCTGTTTTGTTTTTTGTGGCACTATTTTTGATAGGTTGGTCTGTTTTTTCCCTTTGTGTAAAGACAGATGCAAAAAATGAGTTAAATAGTTCTGCTTTCTCCCTGTTGCTTGTCACCTTCTTGCCACTTCCACCCACTAATGGACCAATCATTTCCTTCACTTTTTTCTTGTTTTTTACATGTTGAAAGAAGCTTTTTTGTTATTTTTGACTTTGGTCGCAAGCCTCAGTTCATTTTGAGCCTTGGCTTTCTTCACTTCATCTTTGCAGGCTCGGGCTATTTGCTGATATTCTGACTTAGTTATGTTCCCCTCTTTCCACTTTCTATACTTGTCCTTTTTATCTTTCAATTTGTCAGAGAGTTCTTTATGCAGCCATGCTGGTTTCTTTTGAGAGCTGTTATTTTTCCTCTTTGTTGGTATTGTGCTCGACTGTGCTTTTATTATCTCATTTTTCAAAATTTCCCAAGCTTCTTGAGTTGTTTTCCCCTTGAGGCTTCTCATCCATGGAATCCTTCCCAAGCCCTCTCTAAGTTTATTGAAATTAGCTCTCTTGAAGTCCAAGACTCTAGTTTGACTGTGTTCTATTGGTTGTGCTTCTATAATGTTGAATTCTAATATTGCATGATCACTTCCTCCCAGGGGTCCTATGGCTCCAACACCGTCTATCATTTCATCTCTGTTAGTGAGAATTAGATCCAAAATGGCTAATCCCCTAGTTCCAGTCTCTACTTTTTGGGAGACAAAGTTGTCTGCTAGGTTTGCCAGGAACCTGTTTGATCTTCCACTTGGTGCGGAGTTTGTCTCCCAGTTGATGTCAGGGTAGTTAAAGTCCCCCATTACTATTGTGATGTGCTTCCTACATACCTTAGTTAGCTGACTAGCAAAAAGTTCATCTATTTCCTCTGTTTGGTTGGGTGGTCTGTAGTATACACCTATGGCAATGTCATTCCCCCCCCCTTTTATATTGACCCAAATGCATTCAAGACAGTTTTTATCATTGTTGTACTCTATTTCTGTGAAGATGTAGTTATTTCTTATATAGAGAGCAACTCCACCTCCTCTTTTATTTGGTCTGTTTCTTTTAAATAATTTAAATCCCTCTAGCTGTGTGTTCCATGTGTGAGTTTCATCCCACCATGTTTCCGTAATGGCAACAATATCGTATCTGCCCTCATTAACCTGAATTTCTAGTTCACCCTGTTTGCTGTTCATACTTTGTGCATTGGTGTATAAACATTTGAGTCCTTGGTGGGTGGCCCTGTGTTTCCTTTCTACATAACCTGTGTGGTGCCTGAGTTCCCCTATTGTCTTACCACCTATTTGGTTAGTGCACTTTATATGGCACTCGCTATTAGAGGCTTCATTTTGATTGGTAGCAAGGTTGGTATTCTTGTCCACACACACATCTGTGCTACATGCACTGATAGCCCTATAGTTTTTAAATTGCCGGGGACAGGGTTGTTCCGTATCAATTAACTCCCTGTCCCCGCTGTTTAGTTTAAATTTCCCTCCAGAAAATCTGTGAATTTATAGCCGAGTAACTCAGTCCCTTTTTTTGATGGATGCAAACCATCTCTTTTGTACATCTTTTGATTGGACCAGCTACTGACATCGTGACTAATATATCCAAAGCCTTCCCCTTTACACCATTCCTTTAGCCACATATTGAATTGTGCTATGCGCTGGCCTTTTCCGTTTTGCTCCTTATACACTGGTAAAACCTCTGAGAAAGTAAGCCTACAGCCTATTCTGCTAAGTTCCTTCCCCAAGCTCTGGAAATCATTCTGCACAGAGAGTACATCTTTTTGGGACAGATCATTAGTGCCAAGGTGTACAATAGCCTCCACATCACAGTCCTTGCTGCCATTCTTGATTATTTTAGAAATACGCTTCTTGTCCCTACTGGCAGTAGCACCTGGAAGACACCTGACCTCTTTCAAAGCCTCTGTGTCCTTTCCTAAATTTACATCCCTTATAATTGAATCACCTACCAGAAGGTAGCTTCTCTTTTTGGGAGCCTTTCTATTCTTGCATGACTGATGTGCAATACCTGATTCACACTTCTCCCTATCAAAATCTAGTTCTTCATCTCGGACCACAATCCCCTGCTTATTTGAGTTATCTTCACAAATACCTTTACCAGTCTCCTTAATGTCCCTATTAAGGTCAGCAAGAGCACTGTAGCTGTTGTGCAGGGACACAGCGAAAGCTTTGGGTTTATGGTTCACAGCTCTCACCCTGCCAGATCCCACGGTTGTCCACACTGCCCTTTTCCTGCAGGATCTTTGTGGTAAAGGGGGCTGATAGCAGGGAGGCTTACTAGAGTAGAGGGGCTGAACTGGACACCTAATTTCTGCCCGAAGAGCACGG